ACCATGCCGCTAGGGAGCCAAAACTATGAGTGCCGGAATTGGCCCTACCTGATCCTGCGAACGCCCTGGACGCTCCATTCTCGAATGTTGTAGCATCTGCGGACCCCACCCGGAGGTACTTCTCTGCGACGGCATCGCGGGGCTGGCTTGTGCCGACGGCGGGCGGCAGAAGGGAGGGCTGGCTGGGTCCAGCGCTGCGCAGTTGCGGCCATTTACGGCGCCGAGTCAAGATGCCAAGGGGGTGAATGTTGTGAAGCTGATGGAGCCGGGGGTGGGGCTGCGGCCTTGGGTGGGGCTGGCTTGAAGCGGCGTTTGGTGCACCAACCAGAGTTGCGTGCATTGATTGCGCGCTTCAGCCAGCATCATCCTGGCGACCCTGATCTAGGAGCCAAGCTGAGCAACGTGGAGTTCGACGAATTGCTGGTGAGCTGACTTGAAGCTAGTCCAACGTGGCTGATAGGATCGCGTGCACGGCGTGACTGATTCCGTAGACCCCTCCAAATCGGGAACAAAAAACGATCCTAATACTTAAGCATTGTGATATCTGGAAAAACGATTTGTTCCCGGATTCACAGCCGTCCGATCTAGGCTGTCTCTTCAGAACCGTACGATCGCTTGCTTTGAATGTACGGTCAGGTAGTAGGCCATCTACCTTCATGAACAACGCTCCTGTCTCTAGCCGCCTCATCTCCATGTCGCAGGCCGCACTCGACCGAGAGGACGTGCAGGTCGCCCCAGAGTTCGTGCCGAACCCCGTCGACGAAGAGGCCGACCCAGTGCTTTTCTACGAGCGGCGCCGCCTTCTCCTCGACCAGTTTGCACAGATTCGATCGAAGAATGGTGCAATGCTGGCGAATCTAGAGGGGATCAAGACAGAGGCCCTGCGAGCTTCCCCTCTACGACCACCGCGATGCCCCCCAAAGTGGGCGGAGCTACTCTATGGCTTAGGCACGCCGCAGTCGGTCTCCGATGACAGCAATCTGATTCAGCATAAGCAGGCTCTGGCCGTGGTCAGGAAGCTACTCCTAGGGGGAGTTGCCAACCTAGATGATAAGGCGATCTTAGCTGAGCACGCCCCCATCCTGGGGCGGTTGCTGGACCACTTCGGGTTCGGTTTCCCCAGGTATTTCACCCCAGCGTTGCACCATCTCTATCGGCTGACCCTCTTCGGCCGAGGTGCTGTCGGGCTTGGGGTGGGACGAGCTGGCTGGCCGTTGTCAGCTATCGAGGGCCTCGACAACTGCGTCTCGGCAGCACGCGACTTCGTGGAGCGCCCGTGGACCCGCACCGCAGAACGCCTGCAGGCCGTGGAGTTCGGGGAGACGAGAGCGAATGCCCTGCTCCCCGGTGTCGAGAGCTTGACAGCGCCCTCTACGGCGTTGTACCCGCTTCGTTGTGTTGTACGCCGTATAGCCAAGTACGTGAAGTACGCCGTATAGCCAGTGCGGCCATAGGCTTCGATCCAACTTGAATCATATTCTCATGGTCATTTCTTTTTATACACGCTTAGTAGGCACCTAGGCCCATGGCGCAAAAACAAGCAATTTCGGAGTTCAGGCTTTATCAAAAATTGTTTCTATACTAGTTACCAAGCAGTGACTAACAACAAAGCAACATGCATGACTAACATGACATGCTACCTCATCATGGCGTAACTACTGGGTATAAAAGTCACTTAGCAATACCAATCGGGAAATCGGAGGCAAAGGCTGGGCAAAGGCTCAACAAATTGTCATCAATATGTCCCAATTCTCAATGGCGAAGTGTCCGAAGTTCGCTCCGAGCAAGTCGTCCCGGTCACGTGGTTCATCACGCACGTGTTGGAAAGCCCGTTTTGTGGTTTGTGCCACGTTGGATTGGATATGTCTCTGATAAAGCCAGAGGTTCCTCGAGGCGTTTTCGTCAGAAACCTACAGTCGGCTGCGTTTCCAGGGGCCAGCAACCGGCAGGAAGGGGTGCCTGAAGAGGACAGTGACCACATCTCGGTGTCATATATCCACCCGGGTCGATCATCCCCCGGGCCGTGCGCCGCCTACCTGGTCCGCCTGTCAGCCTGTCAGGTCGGAAGTTGCGTGACGTTGTAGGTAACTTGTCGGTGCTCACAGGGTGTACCGGGTGCTTTATGCAAGGCAACCGTGTCGTACAATGTCAAACCGTCTTGCTAGGATAGGTACATATTAGTAATTACCGGTACCGTAGGTAGGTACCGTGTATGCACACGTCCGGCGTATACCTGCACTGCCGGTACCCAACAGTGCCTAGCTACCGGTACCTGCTACCTACCGCCACAGAAGCGCGCCGGGCGCCCGGCGCGGGCTCATGCCCGTCAAGTTCATACCGTATATATAAAGGATCTATCATCTAGGTAACGTATTAAATGCCTATAAGAAAGTACTCGGGGCAGCAGCCTGACTAAAACCCCTAACCCACAAACCTGACGCGCTCCGCAACCTAAACCACCCTAACCACCATATACCAGCCCCACCCGTTCCCCGGGCGTGTCTTATGGCTGAATTTAAGTTCCTTTAATATAGGTATATATAATATATAGGTGTTAAACTTTTCCTTTTAGGCGGGGATGGACGATCGAGGAACTACCGTACTTAATACTACTGTACCTGGTACCGGCAGGTACAGGACCAACCTTGGACCACCCGGGACCCTACCGTACACACCCAGATACTGTACGGCCTGAATCCTGATCGATACCCGCGGGCCGCCCCCCGGTACTTGATTCTGGCTTCCCGACTGCTGGATCCTGATCGCTGAGTCATCAAGTTTTAGTTTCTGATGACATTGTTGCAAACAAGTGGAGACAATATGGTGAGGTCATTTCGACGGTTCCTATTTGTGACGATTGGCAATTTGCATCAGCATTTGCGAATTTTCAAACTTGCCGTTCGACAAGAGCCGACTTCGACATTCAAGTCGGTACATAAAATTCCTATTCTCCTGTTGCAGAGCTCTCCATAAATCGAATGCTGGACACTGCCCATGGGCCATATTCTGAATACTAAAGCTCAATCAGCGCCGGCAAATCGAAGATTTTGGCTTACGTCTGTCCCGTGATTTCCAGTTTGAAGCAAGTGTGCGCCCCGTCGTATGCAGTGTTTCCGCTAACTTTCTCAATTGGTGGCCCACGGGCCCCCTGGGCCCGTTATTCGGGGGCCCGGTGGGCCCCCTCAGCCTCTCAATCGGAGGCCCAAGGGCCCCTTCGAGTCACTGATTGGGGGCCCAAAATCTGCGCGAATCTGCCCCCTGCTAGGTATGATACAAAATTAACGCTCCATTCAATAAGCAGGGGTACTCAGGGTCCGTCTTACTGCAGAACCCCCCTCTAGTAGAAAAATTGAATATATTGTTACACATTTATACTAAAGTATTCATCGCAAATCACATATAAGCTTAGAATAACTCGTACTGTTGGGCCCCCTGATATTGAAGTATGGGGGCAACAGGGCCCCTCAACGATGCTCTTTGGAGGCCCGCCGGGCCCCCTCGACTCGGGCATTGGGGGCCCGTTGGGCCCCCAAGCCCCTCCTATTTGGGGACGATATCGGCCATTGGGGGCGATAATGGCTGGTGGTGGGCCCCCAGTGGAAACACTGGTCGTATGCCATTTTTAGAATGCTCCATCGCTATTAGCAGTACGGTAGTGGAGTCACTGGGGATTGGTCCCGTGTGGTTCTGAGCAAACTCACTGAGGACTCGACCTGGCAACCTGTGTGCTCGGTGAACGACGGAGGAACAGGAATGATGAATCCAATCGCCGAGGACGCCCCGCTACAAGCCTAGATTCTTATCGTTGTTGCTTTTCAGAGTGAATCTTTAAAAGCGCAGCAGGTTTTGACCGTCGGATGCGTTTTCGACGATAGCGATGATCGTGCAAATCTGGAGACGAAAATATCCACCACACCTTTCTTACCCCTCCCGCCAAGAAAGCAGCCAGCACGAAACCGCACGCTTCGTGAAGTACCCACAAGGGTACACGTAACCGTACTCTGGTACCAAGGACCGGGGGTACCGCAAGCTCTGGCAAATGAGTAAAAAACGCGGCTTCACATGCCGTCATCGTGACGCAGGTACGTACCGTAAACACCTTCTAGTAATGGTACCCAGCGTCGCAACAGCTTTGCAACAGCCAATTTCGCAAGATATCTTATTGCTGTGCATGCTCTTCCTGCAGCACATGTGGTGATTTGAGGGAGCTTTTGGGAGCGCTCCAGCAAGCACAAGTGGTCTGGAGCGGAAGTTCAAACGGGTCGGTCCTTTCCTCCACCAACTTGCGAACCAGAGTTGCTACGCGAGGGCGTTTTCAACTGCAAGTTTGGGGAGAGGGAATGCCAGTGCGTACCAGGGGTTTGGCATATGGGAGTTTTGTGTTTGGAGGGTGAAGAGAGGATGCGCTGGCCAAGGCAAGTAATAAGGACCTCGCAAGCCACTGCTGGCTGGGTAATTGCTGGAGAAGCGGTCTCAGGCGTCTCGAGTGAGTTAGACACGTGATTAGCTGATCGGTTACCAGCTTAGAAGGGGATTCCAGGCAGCCATATGCTTCTCCTTGAGTCCCAGTTGATGGGCCGATGCATGAGTAGGCGGCCAAAGTGGCCGTCTGGAGAGGTTGACATCAACAGCTTTGGGGTGTTTCCCGCTGTCGGAATGAAGACCAGAGCAAAGGTTGCTGCTGAGCAGATGTCGTTAAGGGCGACCACAATCTTGAGGAGCCTCAACAGCCTGAAGAGGATTCAAGGAAGTGAGGAGCAGAGCAGCAGCAGGAAGGCTAGGAGGCATGACGAGGGCCACCTTGCTGTTCGCAGGGTGCAGCCTTATGGGACCAAGAAAGGGAATGAGAAGCCGGGTGCTGTCATGCGAGTGGGGCCCGTTCTCAAGTTAGAGAAAGAGTTGCGGGGGCGGACCATAGTTGTGCAGTTGAGGCTGGATGGGGGCCATTTGCAGAGCAAGCCGAGCTGCGGTCAGTTGGGGAGCGTTGCCACGGCCGCGGGAAGTTGCAAGGTGGATGAGGATAGGGTGGGGCGGACTTCTTTGTCACCTGGGGGTGATCCTGGGATGGATGCAGGAGTTCCCTTGAGCACCCCAGCAGCAGCAATCCCACTCCCTATGCACGTTGACCAGCTATCAGGGCCAAACAACCAGGAGGAATCGGGTTTGGGCCAGGGGCAACCATTGGGCGAGGATCAGCAGCATGCGAGGCATGAGAACTGGGTAGGTGCTCATTTACCCTCGGTTTCGCAGATTACCTGATATTACCACCTTTTCCAGCTTTGAGTTGAAGATGGTCGTTGATAGGTTTCGTGTTTTACCCTCTTACCACATCATTCTGGTTGTTGAAAGCAAAGCTCAGCCTTTTTCCATGTCATGCAAAGGACTTTGCTGCTGGCTTATCATGTTTGCACATTGCTGAGAGTTGTTCTCCTCTGTTGCAAGGCTCTGCACTTATTCCCCATTCTTGCCATGGTTTGCATCTTGGTCAATCTGGTCTATTATGGTCAAAGCGTATGTTACTTCACTTGTTCAACTCAACCTTGTACCTACTTTCCTGATGTAGTATATCTTCATCTGATGACGCTCTTGAAAGTATGCTGGAGCAGGGACGATGAGGACAACAAAGTTGGTGTGGTTTGTAGAGGCTATTGTTCGACCTCCAGCTTACCTCAATCATTCGTAGATACATTGGTTGATGAGGATAAAGCAGACCTGTTAAAGCAGACCTGTCGATTGGCTACACCAATAGCAAGTACATGAATGAATGAGCTCCCGCCAGCTAAGCAGAGACTGGACAGCGGTGTCCTAGATGAAATAGAATCTGCGCACAGAAGACACATATCGGTTTCTCAGCTGCATCTCAATAAAAACTTTGTGTTTTGATCCGCTGGTTTTGGTTTTACTTGGCTAAGTCAGCACCTTCTTTCTGCAGGCGCAGACTTCTCATGCTGAAGCAGCAATCCAGTTTGGCAGCTCGCAAAGGGAGATGCAGCACCACGAATCTGCTCGAGGGGCAGCAGCGGTTGCGGAGCGAGGCGAGCACTCAGGAGTGGGGGCAGCAGGAGTAAACGGCGGGGAGCCAGACAGCTCAGGCCACTCCAAGCTGCGATCATGTCGGAGCGGTGGGGGTCAGAACCACAACTCTGCTAGCGAAAACGAGCAACAGGCAGAGAGCAGTGGGCGAGCGAGAGTCCGGAGGCGGCTGTTTGACCCCCCAACCACTGAGGAGCTGGAAAACTTCTTCGCAGAGGCGGAAAGCAGCGTGCAGAAGAGCTTTGAGGAGAAGTGAGCACACTTCAGCTTGTGTTGCCTTTGCCTTTGGTGAATGTCAAACAGAAGGTGCAACGTCTGACTTCAGTGTATGATGGTCTGAGTTGGCACTACTTTGCTTTGAGACGAGTTTGTTGTTCCTTGGCCTCGCAACATGCTTGACGTGCACTCTCGTTGTTTTCGCTCCCTATGCAAGCTCTTCTGTGCTTGTCTCGAAGAACTCCACTCGTTCCTTTGCAGGTACAATTTTGATCTTGAGAACGAGTCTCCCTTGCCTGGACGCTTTGAGTGGACTCGCTTGCGGTAGAACCAATTTGAGCGGTGGGCTGAGTGGCTACTGTACAGACTGCAATGATCGCGCAAGTTGCATACATATGGGCGCTCCAAACACGGCTGGATTAGGTTATCAACGCTGTCTTGTATGATGGTTTCCGGAGGAAGATTGTAGATGTGAACAACGGGTAGGTAGTTAGTAGAGGCGGAGCGTAGTTGCGATTCATTTGTATGACATAGCACTCTTGTTGCATTGCATGCCCAAGAGTGTTGTGTCATCTAGAGGTTCTGAAGGTGTACCAATACGATGATCCTAGAGATTAGGCCAACGATATACAGGTGCGGCCACCGGAAGGTAATTTGTTAAATAGAGACGGTTAGGTAGTACCGGTAGTGGCATCTTGGCGAGCTCTGTGCTCGGTAGCATCGGCACTTGATGTTTTCTCATGGGGACGGAAAGGGTGGTTTTGGTGAGTAATTTATCATGGATTGGTGGTAGGGGGCTCACAGTGCAGATCACTAACGTAAGTAGCAAAACAATCCTCTCGATTCTACTAATGGTGGTCGTGCCATGCTATTGGCAGATTTGTACCTGAGCCTTTCAAAAGAAACCGACTCATCTTACTTCGCGTTTCTCGTGCCTTATAGATGTTTGTTTGGTTCAGAAAATGTCTTTGTAGTGTGGCGATATCCCTGTTAGCAAGATATAGGTTGTGGTCAATAACGTTTCCTTCTTAGAACTGTTGCGTAGGCTAAGCCAGTATGAAGCACAGTTCTGTGCAGAACTGGGCATTCATTACAATCATTTGTGTGTGATGAGAACCCTATGGCTTGTTTGGCTACGTCATTCCAGACCATCAAGACCAAAGCTCAGTGCGATGCATAATACCTTCGATAATAAGTACCAACGCCGACTCACCTACACAGACTTCGATTTGAATTCGAACTTTGTTTGCAAACGATTCTGCTGAGAAGTTCCATGGCTGGGCCACTGATGTGCTTAAAAAGAAGTGACATATTTGCCCTGCAACACAAACGCTAGCTAAACCATGCAGAACTATAGCTGCCGCCGGGGGGGTTGCATGCCTTACTGCAGCAGATCTGCAATGATAAGCAGGGTAGCCAGAGTCGATCAAAAACCACGATTGGGCTTTCAAGCTTGCTTTATGAACCATGCTCCATGGCCAATAAATGCTGTATAAGGGCGTCAATCAATCAGCAATGCCATGTTCGCCATGCCATTGCTCGGCGTGGACTGTGCAAGGTGAGGACATCCACAAAGAACGTGAAAACGCACCTTAAGTCCAAGCTTCCGTGACGTCAATGCTTCATTGACGCAGAAGCAGAAAGTTTACCTACTTTGCAGAAAGTTTACCTACTTCGCCCACGCCCAACGGCAGATAGGGTACAATCTATTAGGTCAATCTCTACAGACTAGCATGTCATCTTGACGCAACTTATTGCCAGAAGATGAACACTAAATGCAACTTGACGACGAACCAAGCCTTGAAGCATTCCCAAGATCTGACTGCCCTAACACACTACCATCTCGAAGGTGACCAAAACGCTCCCTCCAGTCTTTCTGTGCCTCTTCTTTACTTTTGTAAGTCCAGAACAGTGGTTCTTTGTCCTTCTCTTGGGCTTCAAGGATGGCCTGTCAGGAGATTGTGATCAGAGGACCGTAAGTCCCCGAGCTGAACGATGCATATTCCAAGCATACCTGGTCATCATGGCAGGAAGCTCCAGTCCTAAATGCAACAACCGACCTGGACAGATCATGCAAAGAGCAACAACAATTGAGTCTTGATGGAGCACTTACCTCTTGCTCAACTCTAGTTTTTGTTTTCAGTTTCAAGCAATCATAGAGCTCGCTCCATTTCTTCGTGCAACTGTCAACGACCCCATCTTGGTAATACACTGTCATTTGATACACGGGGGCTGCAGAGGGGCACACAGCGATAAACTCCGTAAAGCCTGTCAGGGTTTCTCTTCCACCATGACTAATAGAGCATCACATCGTAAGAAGGTGGATGGGAGCACAGGCAAATGAGTACACACCAACGGAAGTCTTCAGCAGCAAGAATCTTTGACATTTGCATAGTCAGCACTGCCAGAACTTGTCAATATATCTACAAAGGCCAGCTTGCACTTGTGAAATACAGTCAGACTCTTTCGAAATGCCTCGACGAAGGGCCGGGGCTTCAAATGCCAAAGCGGCCTCACAGTAACAGAACCAGAGTGCGTCGAAGCGATTGGTGCAAGTCAGCCTCGAGCGTGGGGGTTCCTCATCCCTGCCGCTGGTCGTGGGTTCAGACATGTCCTGTCACGCATCAAGCTCAATTATGGTTAGAGTCGCTGGAGGATTGCATCCCGCGAACGTTCCGGGTCAGACGCAGGGGCGTGAGTCTTCCAACAATGTTTTGCTGCCGCTTTCAGTCCAGTGTGTCTCATCACAAGAAACAGAGAGGACAGGAGACTGGGGGAGATTTGTCCGGTGAGTTTTGCCGCCAATTCCACTCCAGTTCAACTCCGTCTCAGAAACAAAGAGGACAAGGAACTGAGAGTAAAGGCGACAATGAATGACCTGATCTTAACCAGCGAATCGTGTACGCTTTCACAAGAAACGACAACCAGTCGGCAGAGTTGGTTCATTGAGACCAGTTGCAAGAAGTGGTGGAACCTGCCACTGGCTCCACTGAGCTCAACTCTGACAAGCCTTACGCTGTCGGACCTTGTGGGCTCAGGCTTGTCAAGGAGCTTGAGCCCCACAAAACCAATCAGAATCACTTGCCCAGTTTCCCACAGGGGCATTATATGAAAGTACCAGAGGCCTCTAAGCTACAGAACAAGCAGAAACTAAGCTTTTTCTTGTTGACCAATCTGGAGTCACTTACTCTTTGGTTGTCAAGCTTACTTGGGCACTTGTGTCACACCCTTGGGCAGTGAATTCCTGTCTATATCAAACTTCCCTCCTGAGAAGCTCTCCGGGATCAGAAATGCATCAGTCTCGCCGCTCTTAAACCGAGTTGCAGCTATGTCACCCACTCTCCCCTGATGAAGACAATGGGAACGTGTTCTTCGGAGCACCAGCCAAAGAGAAATCAGACCACAAATAGTCCAAGAAATTTCTCATCTCAGCATTCTACCACACAATCCAGCTGGGAGGGGGCAAGTTTTAAGGCCAGGGCCGTGGAAGCACGATGATGCAGGACTTTCCTGGCGATGTACCTTTGAGCTAGACCGTGGTGAACGCCCTTGCTGCTGAGGCATGAAAATGAAATGTAATGCTGCGCTCGTGGGGCTGACATGAACAGCAACTGGGAAAGCAAGCAGAGCGCCACAGCGGGGCCACAGCTTCATGCAACTTTGCAAGCTCTTGGCAAAATGTGAATGTTGATTGCACATCCTCTTCCGGGCAGGTGGATACATGCAGTGTCAATAAATACCAGGGATATTTAACCCAGCAAGATTGGCACCGCTTTTGAAGCAGTCTTCTCGGACTGCACTTTAGCTGGGCACATCGAAGTCATAGAACACTCCACCCTGCAGGCTGTACACTTGGGACACAGAATTTGCACTTCGAAGTCTTCAGGTCAGAGAAAAGGGGCAAATTTCCTAGGACGAGTGCTAAGCCCAGGGCGCCCCTTAGTCCCTCTCGTAGCTTGGACAGGTTTTCTCTATTGCCATTGGATGCGTGTATTGCACACGTTCTCTCCTTCACGCTCGTACGTACTGACACAGCCATACTAAATCTGCTGCGATACAGAAGCATCGGTGGACAGACGCGTGTACTGTTTGGGATTTCGATGTCCACTGCAAAGGAAGGCGGGCCGCCGCCTGCTGATGGAGAGGACGAGCGCGTTCTTGCCTTGCTCCAGGGTTTATCGGACAAGCTGGGTGCGGTGGAGCAGGAAATTCTGACAGACGCAAGCGGAAGGACGACGAGACGCGTGAAGGATAAGGTGGTTGTCTCGGTGAGCTAATCTGGTTGTACAGGCTGTTTCTGTGTCTTTAATTGATTGGATGTACGTATATTCCGCTAATCAGAGAGTTGGTGAACATGTCGATCTGTAAAAGCTGGTGGTTGAAACAGAATTTGAAGTCCATTTCTGCTGCATTCGCGCTGCTTAAATTTGATGGCTCAGTAAATAGCCTGGCAGCTTCTAAAGTTGCCCTATTCACGTTTGCAAGCTTCTAGTTGTGCCTCTAACCATAATATTTCTGAAGCCCTTTGCCTTGTTTTCTGGGTGAGCCGTCAGGAGAGCGCTCCCGCCGGCTACAGAGCAATGATGGAGAATCGTGGTGATTAGAGCAAAAGTGTTATGCAAGACCTTGTGTGTGCCCTTTGGTTTCGCAAACAGGGTTTGTGTGAAAGGGTCATTGTAACATAGCGCTTGATTGGATCTTGCCTCGCTGTTCTTCCAGAAGGACACTAACCAACTTCGCAACTGAACACAATCAGAGGACTTTTCTTTGACCACCCCAAATGCTTAGCCACGCCCACTAGTTACTTAAAAATGTTGATCTTGACTCCCTGCACGAGAGGACACGCCAGTGACCGCTAAGTAAAATCAGCAAGTCTTCTTGATTGAAGATCGAGAGAAGGTACCGTCACCACTATAACTGACTAGCAAATTGTATGAGGTCCTCGCCACACTGATGGCGCCCGCAAATGTTTTGACACTGTTCAAGAAGGGTAACCTTTTCAGTTGAGCTCTGAGAAAAGTGAACGCCTCTTTGACCCCGGCTCGTAGAATGAAGGAGAGAGGCAAAGGGATAGCCACTCAATGATTCTGGAAGGAATCCAGAAAGGAGAAGAAAAGGCAACAAGCTTCTGATCCTGCTTGCAGAACAAAGGAGAGGCTCGTAACCTTCAGGATGAGATGCAGTCCCTGAGACGCCGCAGGACCGAGAACCCCCGGAAGGGGCCTCGGGGCAAGCTGCGCTTCTGCATCCAAGCAAGCGTTTTGTTGCTTCTGCTGTTGGGGGGGTACCTGTACCTTCGGAGACAGACTCGGCCGTTTAGCATCTCGCGGTGGAGGGAGGGGAACGGTAAGCTCGTATTAAAATCTGTTCTCTTTCATCGTCCGAATTGAAGATGGTATGTAACTTTCTGGTTTCGATGTAGAAGCCTCGGACACTTCCCATGAAGAAGCCGGGGTTGAGTTCACGAGATGCGATTATTATGTGAACACGGAAAGTGATTCACTGTCGTACGTTATGCTTGGTGTCGAGTTTGCCGCTAGAGTCAGAGTCTTTCACAAGAACGTTGGATGCATTAGCAGGCAGAATTGCTTTAAAGGATCCATACGGTTACTTTTGCAGGTGTCCAACTTTCCTTCCTTTTATCATGCCTCCTCTCTCTTTCTCAAACTGTTGTTTTTCAATCAAGCTTTTGAATAGAAGCAGCCCAAGAAAGATTTAGATTCGCTGTCTAACAACTTTTGTCCACTGCCTCTGCAGAGTCGTTTCCAGGTCTGCACTGGTTCGATCGGTCGTCGTTCGAGCAGGGGGGCAAGGGAACAGGCTCGCGCAAGGGGGGGGATGAGGGGGTTGCCGACGTGTCTGAAAGTGCTTTGCGCGAAGCAATTGAGGCGGTGAAAGAGGCGGGGAACGGAGATGCTGCTGGTGAGTTGCTTTTCAACGCCAAGTATTTCCTCCATTCACCGGCCTTGCAGCAACCACCCTCGATCTCACGGTTGTTTCGGACATCCTTGCTCTGCTTTTTTCCTTCCTAACCGACGTTCTTAAGGAAGTCTAATCGCTCGTTTGTGATCAGATTCGAGTTTCTCGGCAGAACAGTTTTCCTTGTTGAAACTGGGCAGACGGTCCGTCATGGGGGCGCCTTGTCTTTTGATGTTCTGAACAAGAGGAGACACGACAGGAGCTTGCAGGACTTTCTGCGCGGAATCTTGAGCGTATCAGGAAGTGGAAGCGCATATGATTTGCAACGGTTTCATGGGTGCGTTGAGCCGTTTAGTGACAGGCTATCTAACTCTTTCTGAAATCGGAGATGCATGATTTTTGGCACAGAGGCGCGTTGTCTTTCGATCTTGCCGACAAGGGGGTTTAGGACAGGAGGCTTACCGATCCTCTGCACATGATTTTTGGCACAGAGGCGCGTTGTCTTTCGATCTTGCCGACAAGGGGGTTTAGGACAGGAGGCTTACCGATCCTCTGCACGTAGATTGTAACGTGGCAGGAATCATAATCTTCTTGTGGAGTGCCACCGGTTTGGGAGCTTTGCGCCGTCTTAACGACCTCAGCTTCGGCCTCCAGCGCATATTAGGCTTCTGGAATCGTCGATTGATCAGCTAGTCGTTTTGGAAATGTTTGATTACCTTCGATACACTCGATTCTTATGGGTTTTTGTCTGTGTAATAGGCACTGGGTTCGTGCAATTGTTCAAACGCGGGCTGCGTCGCTTTGCATCGGTGATTGAAACCTGGCGATATAGGAAACGTTGCTTTCGTGTAACTCTTTGTCTGTTTGTGAGAAGGCTATGAGTCGATCGAAACAGGCAGAGTCCTTTTGCGATCTTTTCCACGAGAAAAGGACAACATCCGCACCGGCTACCAGAGCTCTTTGGACGATATGGATCTCCCCTCACCTTGCTGCTTGGCGCAATGCTTTCCTTCAGGATCCTTGCCTTCATGCTATGTTCAACTCCTATGCTGTGCCACATTATCGGTCTGAAATGGCTGGGACTGGGAGCAACTATCTTTGATCGTTTCTACTGTGCTTTGCGGAGGGCGCTCGTCAGATCCAACAGCCGCCTTGCCTCGCACTCGTTTTTGGTGTATGCAGATTCACAGAGTTTTCATCACGAGAGTGAGCCAAGTATTGACCGTCAATGTCAACGAACTTCACATTTCATCTCGCCGTGGTTTGCGTGGGCGCTGTTTCGCTGGTTGGCAGTTGTGCTGCTTTTTCATTGCAATTGTAATTGCAAGCTTTTGACCAGCTGTCAACCCCCACTGCAGCCGACCGTTAACCGTCATGTTGAATACCGTTTCTAACACCTCCGCTGTTGGCTGGGCAGATGGCGCTGTTCAGGTTGGCCTAGCCGTCGTGCTGGTTCGCGGAGGCAACTTTAACTGCGAATATAACCAGCCGCTAACCGCCCATTTCCATCAACCACTGACCCCCACTTTATACCAATTTCTCGCTGTCGGTTACGTAGATGGCGCTGTTCAGGCGGGCCTGTCAGTCGTACCGGTTCGGGAAGGCACCTTCTCCTGCGAGCTTTAACCAGCCGTTAACCGCCACGGTTAACCAACCGTTGACCGCCAGAGTTAACCAACTTTCCTGCTATCGGTTATGTAGATGGCGCCGTTCAGGTCGGCCTGGCGGACACCGAGGGCGCCGGAATGGATGAGCAGCAGAGTCAGCTGCGCAAAAAAGTGAGCGATGCCAAGTCGTTGCTGAGCGACGAGGCGGGGGCGGCGAAAGATGCGTTGGAGAGCTCCAAACTAGGAACGGCGATAAAAGAGAAGGTTGTCCAATTAGAGCAGGAGGAGGCCGAGGACGTTGACGGAGAAGGGAGCGGCGGTGGTGGGACTGTTGTTGGCGTCGGAGACGGTCGGAAAATTGGGAGGTGACCTTTGAGGCAGATGTGTAGGTACGACAATGTTGGTCATTTGCTTTTTAGATACGTGCCGCTCCAAAGATTTCGGTGAGGCTTGGCTGTCGTTTATCTTCTTTTAGGGACTCCCTGTTCGTTTGAAGTTTGTGCAACGATAGAAGAGTGCAACTGTATCTCACTGGATGGAGAATATAAGCAGGTGATTGGTCCACGAGAAAGGTTGACCTGCGGCTTCTTGTGGCCTTTGAGGATTGCTGTGTTGGAAGCATGTGACTAGTTCATTCAAAGCAGTGGACCGAGAACCCGTACATCGAACTTGGAGCTCTTCGATTTGGATTCAAGTTGGCCTAGGCAATGGACTTCCCAGTATGATCCTCGAAGCGACCAACTTGAGACGAAACCTGGTTCTAACTATGAGTGAATGCCTAGATTGCACTGAGCCTGCCGCTAGCTTGGTCCAAGTTACTGATTGATTGGCAAGTCTTCGAGCCAGGCGCTTACATATATAAGTAGCTCACGCATGATGCAACGCGTCTTGTACACCACACTGACAGTGCTTAATCAACTTTGTCGGATACTATGATACAGGAAAACGCTGCAAGCGAATCATGATCGTCCCTCATGGTCAGCCTAGCCGGCCGCACGCAATCATGGCATCATTGCCGTATGCACCTGTATATAAGTAGTTGGACCGTCGTTGCCATCAGCATGCATGGCAATTTGCCGGCCGCCACCATGTGCAGACTGCATGATGCAGGATATACTAAGTCGATGTATCTAGCATGAGTGAGACATATATATTCGCGCGTCGCCGCGGCACTGATCGCATGCATGCAGATGCCATGGGCGGTATGCATGAATGATGCACACATGGCGCCGGTATCGTACGTACTTGATCATGCCATGTGCGTCGCAGCCCATGTATGATGTTCTCTGATTTCAAAACGCCGTATCCACATGGGCCATATTAGGCTTCCATGGCATACATGGGAATTGATGTTTGAGGTTCGAACGCGCCAGGCTGACTACCCTACCAGATCTCCAAGGGGCCTGATCATTTGTTTAAGATGGCGTCATGGCCCATCTGGCACATCAGTGCCAGAATTGATCGAACTGAGCCAAGTACATACGGCAGATTTCCGGATAAATTTCACGAGGTATCTACGGTGCTATTTTCGAGCCTCGTAAATTACCCGTGCCGCCAGGGGACCGTCGGGGGTCTGGCCAATCCTTATGCCGGCGACAAAATATTCAGGGGGTTCGTCCAGCGGGGCCCGTCGGGGCAAGGCCTGGGGACCGAACGAACGACGGCATTTTGGAATGGCGTGGTCACGGGGGTGGACATGGGGAACCATGGGCCTTGAACGACCCCCAGATTTTTTTGAGGGCTTTTCCGAATCGAACCTGTAATTGTAACGCTTGGCATTCACTTCCACTTGATGTTACATATTTATCTTAATAGTTCTAAGTTTGAAACTCTCCCGCCAATTCCCTCTTCCAAAGTCGGAATTCAGTTCAGTGCATCATGGCGCGCCTGCACTGGCGCAGGCTGCAGCATTGATACTTACTGATACATAATCCGAGTGCATTATGACTCGGATTCATGGTCTGAAGAGAGCTGCCCAGGAAAATGATTAGGAGACTTGTCCCCTTAGGCTTCAGAGTCGCCTGTCTTCCCCTTTTCAACTTCGGCGCCTTAGCATCGTTCAGCTGACCCATGGCAACCAACAGCACTGGTACTCCTGGATCCCCTTGGAGGTGCTGAATGACTCTTCGTTTGCAACTCGCATGGCGGCAGCAATTGACAGAGATGATAGGACCGTTGACGAGAAGATAGAGCTCTTAGCGCTCGCTTACCGCTGCTCAGAGGTGTTCTCTGTGGGTGACAGCAGCAGCTCAGACACCGCAAAGAGGGGCATGCCTAGAGACACTCTTTATCGGGCGCTTGATGCCCTGCTCACAGAGAATGGCTGTGAATGGAGATCACTCATATCAGGAGGCCAGGCAGGGAAGCTGCTCAACACGGCAGTCCAGGAGCGTTTGGAAGGCGGTGAACGGCCCCTGGACTTCCGTAAGTGCATTTTGACCCAATGGCCATTGTGACATGTCACAATCAGTTGCTCAGCACCTCTATCTCTGATTGGGTCATTTTAGGAACTGCGGCCTAAAACGATGCATCAATGTTGCAATATGGCACATAATAGGTAAAGTTGTCTTCTAGGTTCCCTCTGTCCCAACGGCTGGAAATGCATGCCACATGATGTCAAGACCGACACTGCTTCTGCTTTGTCCCTCAGTGTTGTCACACACCTGCCATGAACCTGTTCATGGATTGTTCTTTAACATGCTTTTCTGATTTGTGCAGCTTCGCCGATCTCAGCCAACAATGCGGCGCGTGGTCATGTCGGCAAGGCTTTGCACGACATATCCAACCAGAAAGCAGCTCAAAAGCAGCTCCCAGGCTCCGCTGCATCCACAGCAAAGCTAAAAAACCAAGCATCTGCGCTGGTGGCACTCTCCGCCTCAAAGCCCTCTGAACCATTTATCTTCTCCCCTGGCTGCACCAAAAGGCATCGGAATATTCTGTACCGCGAGGGTCTTGTGATCAATGCGAGCAACGTCAGAGCGATTGGGAAGATTAAGCAGTGGCACGCGCCCTACCGTACGTTTGATGACAGCCAGTGCAGTCCTGCGCTGAGCGATTTGATGCGAAGGGTGGGCAACGTGGAATCAGAGAGCCTCGTCTTCGACGTCGCGTACCAAAGATGGCTTCTAAACCGAAGTCGTCACCGCAGGTGAGAAAGTGTCCTTTAGCTGGTTTTGCCTCGCTGGTTCTTCATATGCTGGCTGTTCAAAGGCTTTGTGGAGACTTTCTGCTTGAAAGCATCGCAGACTGTGGGTAAAAAGGGGCCTTTTGGTACACACTGTTGGCTGCTCTACAGCTAAGCAAAGATTTGGAGTACAGAGGGCTTCACAGGTTTCAGTGGAAGTTTCATCTGTCCCCACGGTATTCCCTGAAGAGCTGGACTTGCCTAATCACCAATACTGCAGCCTTCAAACAGTGTAGCATTATCTTGCTTGATTGCAGCATGATCCAAACGTTGATTCAAGAGCTAAATATTGATGTGGCCGTTCTGATGTGAGAGACTCAAGTGTCTGACATGGTCTCTCAGCAACAGCATGTATCATCATCTGCTTACATTGAGTAAATTCTTGTCTCTTGCAGAGTGTCAAGAAGGAGGTCTCCGTGCTTCCCAAGCTGCCAAGCCCTTACGACTTCACCCCGCAGTCCCTGCATCCTGGGGCTGTGGTTGGGGTGAAGGACACGGAGGACTACTTTGAGATGTACGTCTACGTCGGCGCTGGTTCCATAACTACGTTCAAGCCAGAGAGAACTACCCCAGGGCTGCCCTTCCAGAGCTTGGTGCTCGGTGGTGATGCCAGCGGCATCATGATCGACGAAGATGTGAAGATTGGGTGAGAGCAGTTCGTTATAGCACCTCCATGTTTTAGGAACATGATGTGGCATCTGCATGCGTATGCCACAAGTTGAATACTTCTAACCAGTCTTGGAAAGAAATAAGGTGCAGATTGAGCTGAAACGTTCAGCTGTATCTAGTTCTTTACTCCGGATAGGCAGATTCATTGTTGATTCTGATAGGGGGTCAATAGCAGGTTTTGCATGTCCGTCGACTCCTTTGATTGTTGATTGTGGTGGGGCATCACTGTCGTGTCCCGCTGACTCTAGAAACGCTTAAACAATTGGTCAAATAACTTTACTGCCCAGACAGTTGAGCTTGTTGGCCCTTCGAAAGCGTTCCTAAAACTGATGTCTGGGTCGTGGGCCAGATGTTCGAAGTGAGTTGTTGCCTTGCTGACAAATCAACTTCGTAAGTTCTGCTAGTTCCTCAAGTGGTCGCAACCTAGCCACTGCTGAGATCCAAAAGTCTGGTCTTGTTTCGTCATGGTGCATCCATAAGATTCTCGGTGTCAGGACCAGTCTGTTGCAATTACTCTCATCCGGTGAACACAATCCTTGTTGCCTTTTTATGCAGGAGTGAGAGCGTCCGCATTACAAGGAACGTGGAGGAGCTCGAGCAATCTTCCTTTCCGCTTCAATGGACAGTCAGCATCCCCTTGCCGGAGGACGTCGACACGTCAATCAGAGGAAATAAAAGGGTCAAGAACGGTGTACAGGCGGTCTACTTGAAGAAACGGAAGTTGGAGGAAAAAATCATTGTCGAAGATTGGCTCGAAGAGCTCAACTCTGAGTCAGAGTAGAAGCTTGTTGTGTTCAACAAGGCCCGTTGGCCTAGGTTAATGGAATTGGTGGGTGGTGGACGATCGGACAGGATTTGGCCAAGGGCACTAGCAGATTAGGGTAATAGAGCACTTCAAGTCCCACTATTTATTGAAGTGGTTCGAGGCTTTTTGCTTTGTAATTGTAACACTGCTTGTCAAATATGGATTAAACTTCGCGCTCGTGAACTCTTAGTTCCAGGAGCTTATATTCCATTTGGAGGATATCACTGTCCATTGCTCTTGGGCATTCTAATAAACAGCATAAGGATCTCAGGCTCATGCGTCAGGCTTCCCTCTGCTGAACGTACATCTTTTGTTTAGTGAGTGTAGCTTCGCTGCCGCCATATCCGTGCACCGAGCAGAGCCGCACATCAACTTGCACCAAATTGGATCGCCACATGCTTCAGTCGTTTCGCCATGTGGAATTGGTGGCAATGCGGTTGGCAAGCCTTGTGAGGCTCGGCTATAAGTAAGTTGCAATCGAGCAAGCATGAGACTGAGAAGCATCGATTGCGGTGGCATCGTCAGTGATCATTTCGTCCAACACCTTTCGCCGTCGCTGTAGCGCGTGACAGCTACATGAACTCTTGCGCCATCATCGCGAAACATACACATGGGAGCATGACATTTAGCCCGTACCGGGCCCAAGCTTCATGAGCGGTCCTCCTTACCGGAAGCCATGACAAGTTTCAAGCCTATACAATCCCTCAACTTCAGCCGCCGCCCACGGCTCTACTAGAGGCTGTTAGCTCGCTAGCTCCCGCGCACCCAAACAGTGGCTTCAATCACCCGCATGGCGAAAGTGTTGGCACTTATCCGGATGCCAGAGAGAAGCAAGGCTAAGCAGTTGTTCTGGCTCTCTTTTGTGCAGGGGCTTCGGTAAGTCCACGCTCAGCTTTCAGCTTCTGCCAGCCGAATATACACCTGTTCAGTATTTCGTTTTTTTTCTTCTCACTGAGTTCGGCTAACCCGAGCGTCAGCTTTTTATATGCTTCCTGTGCAGCTCGTACACTCTCCTTCGTGAAATCGTTCCCATGGACATCTGCAGGCGACAACTCGGAAGAGTTATTTCTGGACGAGAATCTGGTGACGTAATCCGGTTAGGAACACTCACACCGGTCCTGCACGTGTACAAAGAGCGGCAATCTCTCGGGAAATTTAAAGCCAGCTCAACTGGGTAGGTCAATTGGTCAGCACTGAGCTTGGCAGACCCGATGGGGCCCCAATCGAGTTAGAGGGTTGGATGCGGCGCCGGTGTATACCTTTCCTGGCCATAGGATCCTTCCGCTCGTAGTAGGTGCTCAACCGCCACTGTTTGAAAATAGGCTCAGCTTCCGAAATTGAGGGCGGTGTAACATATGGACCAATCCGCTGCGGCCTCTTTGGAGCACCCTCAACTGTATGATCGGACAAAATACGTGTTAGCCATGCACGCGTCCCGCACGCGTCTGTCGATTCTGCGTTTTGGAGCACACGGCAATCTCAGTCAGACAATTCCCAAGGCCCTCTGACTCATCTTGGATCGATGAGGTTTGGACAGTCACGTCTCGACCAGAAGCGCAGGCGGCGAGTCGTCGCTCCTAGTTCCTGCTTTCAGGTCAGGTTTGAATTGTGCAACTTGAAGCCATCCTGATGCTCCTAGTTCCCAAAATGGTTACTTGAGTCCGAGTGGCTTACCTTTGTACGAGAAGCAGGCTACGCGATTGTCGGGGTCGGACCACTGGCCATTCACGCACACCTCGACCGGGAGGTTGTGTCCCTTGCCCTCCGGGACTTGGCAGCTTATCTGGGTATGTCTAACGGACACTTGAGCTTTTTCGCACGAAATTCCGCCGATGCGCACAGCGATCTCACCAGCCGACCCGAAGTTGCTTCCTCCCACGGTTACTATCTGCCCTACTCGACCTATTTCTGTACAAGAGAGCACCTTCGGTAGGTCGTATCTGAGATGGCAGGCTGGAGTGATGGAAGAGGGGCGCTGCTGAAGAGTTTGCCCTACCCAGACTTGCAGGTTCTGGTGGCCCCCGTTCGAAGGAGGCAGGGTGACGATGAGGCGGATGTGCTCCTCGACCATTCTCCACTTCGCCGTTTGTCCGCCTGTTTATGGAACACAACGGCGTTGAAACAGCGTTTCAAAGTGCCACAGTGAATCTCGATTGGAATCACACTTGGATGGAATAAAAGAGCGGGCCTGACGCAAGCATGAGGCTAGCTTCGATCGGGATTCAACAATTATAACTTCTTATCTGGACAGCCATAGCAAAATTAGACGCCGCGCAAGGAAATAAAAAAGGACAGACATGCCACCCGAACTGGTCACGGACTTATTACAAGAATTCGAAAGTCTGACGCTTATGACTCTTTGAACCTGAAAACCTCTATTGCACTTCGCAACTTACCAACTTGTACGGTGAGCTCGTCTGGCAAACCGATCCCCAAGTTTTGACCGACCACTTCGACGGTTTGCCCACCCGCAGTCTCGAGAGGCTTGTCACCAACTCGCACCTCCGTGATTGAAGGCTCTGTCAACGATGCAAAGCAACATTTAAATATTGAATGTTTCTGAAAATCAACCAATTCAATCACAGGTAATATGACCTGATCTGCCGTTGAACCCCGATGACAACGGTACAACGTGGGGGTGTCGAGCAGGTCAAGAGAGGCGGCTTGAGAAAACTGATTTCAGCTGCCCATTGATCAGATAGGTCTCAGCCGACTTGGGACGAGAAGAACTCACCTTCGTACCCGGACGAAACGGAAGTTGTGCCGGACGCGTTCCCGAGCAATACACGATGGGCTTTGCCAAGGCCCGCTTCAACGCGCAGGGTCACATGTGTTCGCGTGCTCTCCAGCACACTGCACTCAACGTCCGAGAAACCGGCGCCACGTTGTCTTCCTCCTCTCCGCACAGTCGCTCTTTGAAGGTTGCTTCCGCTGATCCGCAGTGTGCCTCCACAAGTCGGAAGTTGAGCAGGTTCTACGCCGTCGACACGTGGTCCTGATCAGTGCGACAGATTGCTCAAACGGCTTGACAGGAAAGTAGAGAGGAGTTTGATCGTCCAGACTGCGTATGATTCGAAGAGCAGTTGACATACCAGAACATAAGAATTGAAACGGGAGTCCCACAGCATGGGAAGATCTGTACTTGCCCGCGCACGCGCGGCGGACTTCTGAGGCAAACCTGCATGCGGCCTAACTCCTATGACTCTTGTCTTTCAGATTCAAATCGGAACTTTTACTGAGTTCTGAATCTGCTTCAAAGTGAGCGGGGAATGTTGTCTTTGACAGTAAGCATATTAGGCCTCTGAAACTTCCGCACAATCGAAATTTACGATACCAAAAACGACAAAGTGATGTGTGACACAACGTCAGTCAGTCAGCATAGCTCTTGAAAAGGGCAGGTAGAATCTTTTGACCTAGTTGTTTGGACGATTGCACTCACCACCGTACGAGAAGGCTCTTTGCATCACAATCGGCTGACAAGTCAGATGCTCTAGCCCGTGTCCAGTCCCAGGTTGGAAGACAGCTGCGCGCCCGAGTGCAAAAGGGAAGGTCCCCATCACACTGAGGGGCAGATTGCTCCCCACTCCGGCAGGCGACGAGCACGTTATCATGTTGTCGCTCATGACAGCTACGCTGCCAGCTTAGCGAGTCCAATTCGCACAACAGGGCGTCCCTGAAACGAGGCAAAACCCTCTCCCTGGATGGCCAGCTGCGCGCCTCCGCTGGAGTCCCCCACCATTGGGTCGCAAGCAAGCAGGGTGATACCTGCCAGAATAGACGACAAAGTTTCGGAACGGACTTTTGACAGTAGAGCCATTAAACGAGGCCAGAAGCGAGGAATCTTGATGCACCGTCAGCAGAATCAAAAAGGCGTGCACCGCTAGCTGTTGGCTGCTATCAAGCCGATACGAATCGAAAAAGCTGCACGGTTGACCATCGACCTTCGAGTGTTCCCACCTCGTGACAAGGCCGCTCGTTGTTGGCCCGCCTTCTGCAAAATGTCTCTGTGCAGGTATCGGCGGAAGGCTGCCTGGATGCGGCACGCGGCGCTGTTGTGGATGTATAAACGCAGAGGCCAGAGTGACCCCCATTCGCCCCGTGTAACCACTCGTCCCACCCGCCTTGTCTCCAACAGCTCCCTGACGTGGGCGACCTGGCTTTCGGGGTCGATAGGGCCTCCTAATGCGACCTTGCCCGCTCCTTCGCACCACTGCAATGGTTCCCATTTATCCTTTCCTGGACCGACCCCGGTCAAGCTCACCAGCGAGACCTCCTTCAAGCATCGGCAGGTTTCCGCGGGCCCTGTTTGACAGGAGCATGACTCAGAGCACTTGCAGTTGCAGCTTGCCTTACAGCAGTCAGAGCTAGAGTCGCCCGTTGAGGGGCCGCACTTGCAGTGGCAGGTGCACTGGCATGCGCGCTGTGTCCTGAGCGGGAGGACTTTGGCTGCGGACTGGGAGCTCTCGTGGGGTGCATAGACAAAGAAGAGATCCTCAGTGTAGTCCCGCTCTGCTAGAATGTGGAGGAGTTGAGAGAAGGTTTGACGGAATATTGGGTTTTGATTGTAGAGACAGCTGTGGACGAGAAAGTTTGGGACTGTGGCTTCGACGAACTGGCTCAATTCCTTTTTCGCAACTTCGGGGTTTCTGCCTCGCAAGCCGTACAGTAGCATTGCATTCTCACGCATCCACTCTTCTCGATACATCGTTTCCACCACGTCGCTTTTCCTGTCGCTCCGTTTCAATCCTGCCTCCTTCGCAACCTTTTGCCAGGCCTCCAACTTTTCTTCCAACAGTTTTGGGAGGGGGATGTCGCAGCTCTCGTGAAACTTCGGAATCTCAACAGCCATGATGTGCATGTGGTTGGTCTGGACTACTGGCTTCTTGTCGTTCTTTCTTTTGGCGCGAGCAAGGGCGTCAATAACCCGGATCAAATTCCAAATCAGATTCCCGAGCAGCCACAGCAGGCTCCGAGATTCCCGTGACGGACTTTGGTCGGCATAGACTTGTCCAATGTACATGGTGAGGAGGCCTGGCAGCTGCATATCCCTAAAGACAAGAGTGGCCACGTGTTAAAAGGAAGTCAAACTTTAGAGCTAGTACTGATGCAGGTCGCTATAAGGTGCTGGCAAATCTCTCTAGGAATCCGGTCCGAAGTCCTGACTTTCGATCTGATGGAGCCGCTTGGGCCCGACTCAGCTTTTAAGGCTATAACGTCAGAGAAGTGTTCGAATTGCCCTTACTATCAGCCGGTGAGAGCTCTGAAATGACGTCAGCAAAACTTCAACGGTCTTTACTAGAGGGTGACCTTTGATCGGACCCTTGCCAGCACATCGTCTGAACGAGCACGACCTGCAAAGTAGTCAGAAGACTGTATCAACAGATTGAGATTCGAAGCGAAGGTACAAGTTGGAGTGACGTCATACCTGGGGGACATTATTCCTCCAAACATCCACTTATAATGGCTGAGGATGAGGCGGGTGTGCTCTCCGTTCATCGCAGTTGATATACGATCGCCCTGCTTTGCTTCGTCTTTTGCCAACATTTCCGTCTTGGCTTCAGCAGTTTGCCTAAAGACGAACTCCAAGCGTGCCCCAGACCGGTCGTCCCCATCTTCTCCGACTAAAGCGTGGTCTTGCAAAAGAGCGAGCACCTTTTTCCCCACACGGACCAAAGTGTGCATGAATGGAGGAATTGGCTCCGGAAGCTTCTCAAGGGGCAGATCGCCGTCTTCTCTCGCTCCTTGAAAGTCAACGGGCAGCCCCGTGACATGATAGCATTCTGCTTTTGCGAACTTGGCCAGGGTTTGCGTTCTCGACTTCGAGATGGGGCACAGTTGCAAAGCCACCACTTGCTCCGCCGTATCAGCCTCAATCCCCTTCTTAGTATTTTTGGCCCGCTTGAAGCCCAAGCCCCTGATTGACCTATTCTCCAGAACATCCCACATTGCCTTGTTGTCCTCTGCTGGCTCAAGAGCAGCCGTGATTTCTCTAAACAGGGCGAAGCAAGCGGACGCCTGTGCACAACGAGTCCGAGCTTGGCCGATGACGGACCTCATTTGAGCTTGAGAAAGGTCCTTGTAGAGGAAGGTCGAAAGCAGGCCTTGCTCCTCTAAGAATGTGGCGAGAGCTAAGACCTGGAGGGTTTGACTTGTTATGGTTGGAATTGGAGCTCTTCGAGGGTCGAAGAGGAGCAGAGTGCTAGAGCTTGGCAAGCTGCTGACAGGGGTATGTTACAGAGGTACTTTCGCTTCTTAGAAGAGTGGTGAGAATATAATCAGACTTCTCGAGGACGCTCAGGTGGTCGAGCGTGCTAGGAGGCGTTAGACAGGAGCTGAGAGAGGAGAGGATTGATCCTAGCCGCAATGGTTCGGAGACCTCGTTTAATTTGAGGACGAAATCCTGGGTAGAGTCCACGTCATTGAGGGACGTCACGAAGGTTTTATTGAGAGGGGAATACGCGACCAAACGTGCCAAGATATCTTTGTAACGGACCCAGCTCTTGCGGTTGAATTCCGGGTCCCTTGGCAGTTCACCGTAGAGCACTGTATCCTAATCTTCATACTTCGCTGTGCAGAACGGACATTTGTTGTCCATCCCCATATGTATGCATAAGGACTTACAGTCCCCAATCATATATTTGCAGGGTGCTCGTATCCTGGTAACTTCTCCACTCTCGTGTTGAAAGGAAAATACAGTCGAGTTGAAATACTTTTGGGTAAGCAGCCTCGCCTGTGCAAACAAAACGGAGTTCAGTAGCATAGGTTTTCAACACGAATTAACAACTGAACTGTTGGAGGAGCCAAGTTGAACGGCGTAGCGGGGCATCTACCAGACGCTTCAAGACGAATCTTCAGCCGCGCCTGCTAATATTGGCACAGCAACTTTCGGCGCCGCCCTGGTATGCCACTCGCACAATGTAAATCTACTTTTTTGGTAAAAGTAAGGGGACCTACGGCAAGGAGGCGCACGGCCAAGCATCCGAACAAACACAAAACGCTCTTGCATCGCCTTGCCTTGCCTTGCCTTGCCTGCTACCTTGCTGCTCGCGCCTGCTTTGCTCGAGTCCCCGCTACGTAAGGAGAGAATTGAGACTAAGGATTCACGTATCCAACTTGTGTTTAATTTGTGGCGGTGCAAAACAAATATGTGACATCAGCACACGCAGCCGGGATACGAAGTCCGATTCTCAATATGAGCAGCGGAGTACTCTTGAAGTACCTCACTCCACCATTCCGGACCAGTCTGAACACAGTCAAACTCACGCCAAACCAAACGGAACGTACGGTCTCGACCAGGTTTTGAAACTCACCTGAGCAAGAGATAAATGCGTGGCGCCATCCTCCATGCGCGGCCAACTCTCCCGTAGCTGTTCAGCCTGGTCCCGGCTGAGGCAGATCTGGGCTCTCCATACCTTGCTCTCGCCTCCCGTCACATCCCAAAAGCGGTCCAACTTGGAAGCCCCGGTTGTGAAGGCCTCTTCCGAAATGATCTGGATACGGCTGTTACAATTACTCTTGCCCAGAACGGTCGCTCCATCAGTTGCTTCGACGACTACCCCGTTGAAATACGGGGTGCCGGCGGGGGTGGGACGAAGATGCCCTCGATCTTCGGCGTCCTTCAGAAGCTTGTCCTTCAACTGCTCTCCACACGTAAAGTTGCCGCCTGAGGCGGACGAAAGAAACACAGAAACTCTTGAGCGATCAATGTCAAGTTGCCGGCAGTTTCGTGGACGGCGAGGTCAACCAACCGACCAGGATCTCAAGGCGGGCAGCGAGAATCGAACTCGCTCCTTCTCCTCCTAAGAGGAGACGTTCTACCAATAAACCATACCCGCTTCTTTGATCTTATTGAACTAAACCGAGTGAAACACGTTGTGCAGCCAAGTCTACCATCTTCTTGGGCGGTCTCGAGGTTCAAGTGGCAAACAGATTGAAGCGTTTCATCATTCGAATCTGTTCCACTAGGCCCCGACCAAGTTAGATTCGGAGTCAGGTTTCATGAATATCAGGTGCGGGCGTGAGAAGTTTACGGATGTGGTCGCACACTTGACCTGAGGCAGAAGAGTAACTTTACATTTACACATTCATCCACAAAGACAATTCTGCTTGAAGTAATCTGTTTCTAAGATCAAACAGTAGACTCGTAGCGGGACATCTTGAGGGTCCTGCTCATCATGTTTATTCGAAAGCAACCGTCAGCACTTACCTCTTGCCCTCTTCAAAAGTCGATACATATCAAGCGGCTGTCCCCGAAAAAGATGCTCATTGGAGCGGCGCACCATCAGCGCCGCTTCTATGTCCGCATACTTGTCGTCACAGCAGCTCGCATCTTTTGCAAACTCAACGATCCAGGAAACCCCCTCCGAACCACTCCGATTCACACCTCCATTGTCTTTGTAGACCTGCTAACAAACAAGAAGAGTCAGCACCAGGATTGTTACGCTCATTCTTCAAGATTCAGCTGTATTTTCTGTTGCATGTCCTGCACGCGCATCTCTTCTGCCCTTTGTCCCTGGTCCTTCATTGCAAACGTGAGCTAAAAGTTCCACACAGCATCCTTTGCCGCCAGCACGACCCCCTTTGCCGGGACTTGTCAGAGGTCTTGTCACAAGTACTGCTGCGCTAATCTTATGTGAGCAGTACAATCTGTTGGGCCTGGCCTGTCCTCACCTTTCTGAAGGCGGCAAGAGAGTCTGAAGAGATGGGAACAATGGAAGCTATGGAAGCAATGGAAGTGCTTTTTCTGAAGATCGAGTGTAGCACCGAGCAAACTCATGAAGCTGGATGTCCTCAAAAAGGCGCATCAATCAATTCACTCTCTTCAGAAAGAAAGAAAGGAAGCAATGCTAGCGCCACAAGTTACTGGTACCTTCTGAAACACATTGCCTAAACTGAGAACGTAAGACGAGGGCCCTGAAACTGAACATAAGCTTTGCCAACTAATGTAGCAGTGTTACACAAGAGCAATGAGATAGGCGCAACTTTCAGTTCAGTTAGTCTTGGAGAAGAAGGCACGTTCAGATACGCACCTGCGTTGGCACAACTGCCGCATGCTCACTGAACCAGGTCTTGATCTCTGTGGCTGTTACATTAGTTGCAAGCTTCTTCAACCTCAGCGACAAATCTTGAAGCGTCCGCTGCCCGTCCTTTTCACAGGTGTAATAGGAGGGGGTGAGCTTGTCAACATGCCAGCCAAGGGTATGCTCGGTCAGTTGCTTTGCATCTGCTGAGGCCTGCCGAGCTGTGGCTAAGCTTGGGACTGAGATCCCTCCCGCCATTGTCAGCTTCTTCCTCCTATTGATTACCCCGTGGATGCGGACCATGCATCCTTCCAATTCCGTTCTGCGCCCCTTAACCAGGATTGCTTCTCGGGCTTCATTATAGACGCAAAGGAAACTGTTTCCGCGGGCGTGCTTTCGATCGATGATGTACTCAATGCTCTTGGGGATTGGGAGCAGGTTATCGGCAAGGTATTCCTGGATACCTTCCTTGAATGCCTCTACCGCCCCCTGATTATGCTCTGCAGACTCTGGATCATTATAAGCCCGCTCGCTCCACTTGAAGAGAGCAGGGATGCACTCATCTTTAATAGAATACTTCTCAAGGACAATGCGAGCACAATTTTGAGGCTCCGCTGTCACATTCTCCCCAAGTTCGGAGTTGAAGTAGCTGAAAGGCTTCCGTGCCTCGTACATAATGAGCTTCCGCAGCGTCTCATACTTGTTTAGCGAGGAGCACGCCATCCAAGCGATCAGCCCTCCAAGGGGCTGTAGGTGATCCTCCAAACCCTTCTTTGCCGCCCGCAACGTGCGCAGCTCGCGTAACTTTTCATAGGCTTTACAGAGCCTTGCCCCTGACTCCTCCGCGCTTTCTTGTCCGTTTGCCCTTTCCTGCGCTGCATCCACCGCTTCTTGCAGCTCCTCATCAACCTCCCAGTCCTAGTCAAACTCCGCCCCATCAACACCCCAGTCTGGACGCTGCGCATTCCGGACAACACGTGCCCCACTGCCGCTGCGGCGACCTGCTCGCTGAGACCTTGCCCTTCGCCCTTCCTCCTCAAAGCGCCGCAGATCTGCTTCTCTGAGAGGCCTAGGTGGCTCCTGGGGAAGCTCGCTAGCGAGTGACCTCAATGCAGTGCCAGACACACTTCCTGTGAGCATATCAGCTAGGCGCAGCTTGGTGAGAGTAGGCAGCCCCTGATCGATGATAGTCTCCATCATCTCCTCCATTGTTTGGTGCTGAGCTGCTTCTGCAGCGGCTACCCTCTCCTCTTCTGTCAGCAACTCCTCTAAATCACCAGGCTTTTGTCCAGCTGGATTCTGCACGTGCGCCACAAGGTGGCAGGCTTCGACAATCCGAGCCTGCTCTGAGCAAGGATTGCCCAGCTGTTTGTAAGCTACATGGATGGCCAACCAAAGGAGTTCTCTGTCCTTGTATAATAGGCTGGGTTGCTCGCGAGTGAAGCTGTTGAAACGCATAGCAGCTTGGTAATATTCAAAGGCCATGTCCTTCAAAGCAAAGCACACCCCCTTGTTATCTCTCCTGATGAACATTCTGCTGCAAACAGCTACCCAGATCTTATCTATGGAGAACCTGGTGTCATGCCCAAAGTGGAAAACAGCAGGTGTTCCGAGCTCTGTAGGTTCATTTTCGTCCCAAATGAACCCTTTGAAATGCAGCTGGTTCATGAAGGAGACGGGGTGCTCTGGATCTGCCCCCCAAAACGCTTGACTCTTTTGCTCCAGCTGCCATGTTCACAAATCGAAGACAATCCCTTGGAAAGTGTCTCGTCTGACAGCTCAACACAAAGAACTTAGCTCAGTGGTCTGGCCGCTAGCTCAACCCCTCCAGTCTCAGTCAGCTGGGACACGTTTGGCAGTGCAGCTATTAGGATGGATAGATAATGACATTTTGATGTCCAAGCTGCTTGAGATGACCAGCTGACCAGCTGACATAACGTGTTGGCCATCAGAGCATGCATTGAACCCAAGCAACCCACGGTAGGTAGACTCATACGGTAATATACTTCAAGAGGAAGCACTACATGACTGAGACTCCGCAGCTAGTGCAGCCAATGCCAGCCATATGAATTGCCCATGACCAAGTGCTGCAGTCAGTGCATGCAGTGTGATGCAGCTTGACGCCGGCCAGGCCGGGCCAGCACACATGGTGCACGTGGACAGCTTACGACGGTACCGAGGTCGCCGGACTATCACAGGGGAAACAAATTATGCTGTATAACGGCTTTGAACGTACGAAAATCTCATGGGGACCACAAAAGGGGGTGCTCCATCCCAGACCTTCTCTTAGAATATCCCCTGGAAACGAACCTTTAGGGGATCAACTTAAGGAGGCAAGCCTACTAAGGTTAAGTGTACAATGTCAGGAGAGCACAGAAGGATATTCACAGGTATATATTTTCTTAAAAGACAGCTCTGCCTTCATATATTCAAGGCTTTCTAGAGGCAAATCCCCAGTTCCTCCCGAGACATTTGGGGGCTCCCCTTGACTTTGGGGGGTTTTACGGCGAGCGGGCCCAGGGCAGGCCCCCCGCACTCCCCGCGAAACCCCCAAACCGCGTCACGGGGTATATGGGTGATTCGTACGGAAGTCGCGGGGCCGAACGCGGGCCTCCGCGGCGATTCACGAGGGTCGAAAATAGCACCGTAGATACCTCGTGTTTACCTAAGCGACATACATAATGCCAAGTTTGAAAGCATGCTAAGACCCGAGAGGCTGCATCTGGCGATAAACGGGTCGCTACCCTAGTCAGCAAGCTCTCAGTCACATGTCAGTGTGTCAAGCTCAATCACGTGACTTTACGGTGACTGAGCATCACTCAGTGAGCTAGGTTTATGTGTGGCCGGTACTACCGACGCCGGAAACTATCGAACTCAGCTTGTAACTGCAATTTGCGAAAATAAATCTCGTGCAACATATGTACATGGACTCCCTCAGTTGCAAGTAGGGCAGCCATGCGAGTGTGGTGACCGTATGCACATCTAAGCCTGAAACCATGATCCGAACTCCACAGAAATGGCGTGAATCAGGAGACTCTTGCTTGCCAAACTCTGGTTAGATTCAAAGCTGAGTGTCTCTAGCTTGTGACGAAGGTGTCACTTACAGTAGATGTTCACATTATTAGCCAGACCCTTGCCTTTCAACCAGGCCAATAAGTACGTCAAAGTAGCCTCTGCTCAATTTCTACTTACATTTATACGCTACCACCACATAGCACTTAGAATTCGTGCGCATTCCGCGCCACACGCCGATAAAGCCGTGGATACAATACAAGCTCTCCTATGTAGCAGCTAAGATGTCCGTCGGGACGCCCCAGATTGTGCATCGAATACCCGTGACAAACTTTCTCAAACACGACAGACCACATGCATAGTGCAGACGCGTCAGGGCTTGACGGTGTCGTGAAGATTGTCCCTGAAGTGCCGCAGCAACGACCGGGCCTTCTCTTTCGCTCGGGGCGTCCCGGTCTGCTGCAGGGACATAAGCGAAGGAACCAACCCTTCCTGGTAGACCTCCGCTGTGTGCCTGCAACGGAACGGAATTTCCCACGTCAAAACTGGACAGCAAATGCAGCAGTCTTTTGCTCCCAAGAACTTACTTGATCTTCTTACGGAAACTTGTCGTCCAAAGCGTCCTACATAAATAACGTGCATGACGGAAGCTTTGACGCAAAGGGTATCATCTGAGGAACTATCTGTGGACAACAAAAATCATTCCTAAAGTGCAAGTCTGACCTGCTGCTGTTGATGCAGAGCTGGAGCAATGCAGCTGCCGCGTTTTCTCGGGAGCGAGGGGTCCCTCGCTCGGTGACTTGTACCAACGCCTTGATACCGTTAGCCTCGGTTATTGCTAACCGGCCCTCCCCAACCGTGGTTAGGTTGGCCAGCACTGCAACGACCTTCTCCTGGAGAGAAGGGTCCCTGCAATGGGTTTGAACACGGGGTTTAGCTAACTGCGCTTCACCTTGTTGTGCCGCACCTGAAAGCTTTGGAGCTATACATGAGCTTCGAAAGTCTCATGGCGACAGGGACGCAAACCTGGGAACTGGATAGGAGAGGGCATGGTGAGGGTTCTGCAAGCAAACTGCCAACGTGGCCTTCTAAGCGAGTGGAACTACCGAAACCACCCAAGACTGTACCAAATACTTTGGATGAGAAGCAAACCAGATTCTAATTTTGGAAACAAACGTTCTTTCCACAACAAACTTGGTGAAAGTATACAGCTGCCTCCTTGGTGTACAGTCAGCGATTGGAGATCGAAACGGCAGATGCAATCGTTTGATGATCACAAAAACTGTGTATTATTTTAACAATGAAAGCGGACGCTCAGGAAAACAAGAGAGAATGTCCCGAAGAACGAACGTAAGTAAGAACCGACTCGTGCTGGCACATCTGACTCACTTGATAAGCTGGATCAGCGGGCCAACCGCGCCGTTCCGCACGATGCGGCTCTTGTTCTCGTGGCAGATCGACAGGTTGAACAGCGCCGTCGTCGCGTCTTTCTTTCCCAGGGCGCTTCCCGTTCGCAGCAGATCTACCAACCCGAGGATTGCCCCCGCTTGCGCGCCGATCTGCTGCTTACATTCCTCCAGAACGGAAAGGCTGAACAGCGTGGCGGCCGCGTTTTCCTTTGCCGCCTGGGAGCCTCCCTGGAGAACCTCGACCAACCGGGAAATGGCGCCTGTGCAAGGGCAGGAAGGCGGGTTGATGAGTTTCTGAGTTGTTGGAATCTGCGTTGATTTTGGGGTGAGAACTGGGTTCTACGAGTTGCTCTTGGGCTTTGGGGCTTGGGTTCTGTCATTTCGACTTCTAGGGTCTTTAACTTCTTGGACGGGGAGGCCTGTGCTTGCAGCTGGGGCGGAATTAGAACAAGTAAGCTTAACTGACACTGTCTTACATGCATAAGAGCGTGGCGCAGCGCAACTGCCGCGCATGGGTTTGCAATTGCACGACACAGAACCTTGATGCCATCTGACGAGGACTGGTCTAGAATCCTGAGCTGTTCGTTACAGCCTGAGGCTGCTCTCTAGCATCGACAACCTGGGTGCGTCAAGTAAACCAAACCTAATTGATCACAGGCGACTTTCCCTTGGCCAAACGGAAATCACCACCATCTCCTCGCTCAATCTCACTCAGCCGCTCTTGACGTACTTCTCAAGAATCTGCCCGAACCCAGAGCGCTTGATTCTCACTCGCCTCGAGCCACTCCACACCACGCTACATGTCAAAACAGCACTTATGTCTTGACAGGATCCGTACCGTCTCTTGCGATGATCGCCTTGTTCCCGTCGTGGATCGACAAGTTCAGCAGCGCCGTCACGGCGTTCTCCTGAGTCTTGAGATCCTTGGACAGGAGCAGCCCGATGAGATCAGGCACGATGCCGGCGCCCGCGATCGCCTTGCGGTTCTCCATGCTGAACTTGGCCAGCAGCCGGAGATCTCCCGCGGCAGCCCTGCAAATACGTCCATCTTTGGATATCAGTCAAAGGAAAGGAGTCGTTGCTTTTGAGTCTGATAATGCAGATGGCTGCAATTGCCTTGAAGTACTCCATGCTGAAATTGACCAGTAGCCGGAGATTCTCCCGCGGCAGCCCTGCAAATACGTCCATCTTTGGATATCAGTCAAAGGAAAGGAGTCGTTCCTTCTGACCGATGAGAGTGTAGATGGCTGCAATTACCTTGAAGTTCTCCGCGCAAATTTTAGCCAGCAGCCGGAGGTCGCTGGGGGCAGCCCTGCGGATAAGTCGGTTTCGTTCGACACTTTCGATCGCACACAACCCGATGGCAGACGACCGCTAGGAGAAGGCGGAACGCACAGCGACAGAATCGGGACGGATCCGTTCTTCGACGTAGGTCCAACTTTCGGGGGCTAGGAAAGCGGCTTGACTTTCTGACTCCCCCCACCATGGACTACGACTTCCCAGCGGTCGCGATAGAAGTTTCAAGACGATAAATCCCTCTTTCTTTCGAAAATTTCAACGCTCTTTGAAGAATCTTATCGAAAGCAAGCAATAGAACAGGCCTCCATAAAAGCAAACCCACCGAGCACTTTGGAGACTCTTAAGACACGAATCCTCACCTGATGAGATCCGGCTTGCCGCTCCTCAGTTCCCGCCCCATGCTCTGCAGCTCACTGGCGGTCACCGGACGCTTCGGGTCCGCGAGGGGCTCTCTGGAGTCTGCCGACGGCGTCCGCTGGTGCGGATTGTACGAGTCCTGACGCACCGCGTGGCCGGAGTGCGTAACGGCAACCGGGATCTCATTGTGGATCGGCGAGGGGGGGGCGAACCCGGGGGCTGCCTGCACAAAACAAAAAGGGGGGGGGGCATTTTAATCTGCGTTCCCAGGGGCTGAATGCG